ATGTGGGGCGAAATATAAATTTAGAGGAATGGGAAAGATTATGGAACCGAAATTGCAAATTGACGCTATCAACTGCATATAGAGAGAATCAATATAAAATGATTTACAGATGGCATTTAACACCGGCGAGATTGGCCAAAATGTATAAAAACATAGACCCGAAGTGTTGGAAATGTAAAATTAAAGAAGGAACATTTTAATAAGAGATTGGATACAGGAGATAACTGAGATACAAATGGATTTCAAACCAGAAATATTTCTTTTGGGCATAATAAATTTAAAGATGGAAAAACAACTCCAAAACATCATTATACACATATTGACTGCAGCTCGTATAGCATATGCACAATGTTGGAAGAGTGAAAATATTCCCACAAATGATATGATTATGTATAAAATTTTGGAATGCGCAAAAATGAACAAACTTACGTTAGAATTAAAAGACAAGGAGACGTCAGAATTTTATGAAATTTGGAATAAATGTTATAATTGGCTAGAACAGAAAAAGACATAATTATTGATGTACATAAAATGTAAATAAGATGTAAAGAATATTTAAAATGTAAAGCACTGTTCTGTTAGAACAGTGGTTCTCAACCTTTTTAATGCCGCGACCCCAATCGGTCGTAAGTCGAGGACTAAACCGGTCGTAAGTCGAGGACTAAACCGGTCGTAAGTCGAGGACTACCCAACCGGTCGTAAGTCGAGGACTTTCCCTGCCCGGGAGTGCCGCGCATGCGTGGTTCCGCCCCCTGCGCCGGCCGAGGTGTAGCTGGCAAGCGGCAGAGACGGAGCAGGCCGACCACCAGCTGGCCCAGCCCAAGGGAGGTAAGGCACCCGCCGGAAAAGGGGAAAAAAATGGCGGACAAAAAAAATGGCCGACAGCCTTGCTTGGCGACCCCCATGAAATGGTCGATCGACCCCAAATGGGGTCCCGACCCACAGGTTGAGAACCACTGTGTTAGAAGAAAAGATATATGTTTATGTAGTTTTTGGTGTATGGTGTATGGTGTATGGTGAAAAATAAAAAAAAAATTTAAATAAATAAATAAAAATAAAATTGTATTAATTAAAAAGAAATTCAAATTGCTTAGGAGATCTCTTTGTAAATGTGTCCTTAGGTAAAATTTTGCAGAATGATAAAGGTTTGCAGAAATTTGAAAAGATTAAAAGAGCTTCAAGGTTGTTACTCTGAGATCAGTTCCATAATATACTCTCCTGCTGTCTTTCCAGGAACTAATGAATGTTTGGCTAATAAGGGGGGTTGTTCCCATATATGTAATGACCTCAAAATTGGATATGAATGTTTATGCCCTGAAGGCTTCCAGCTGATTGACCAAAGAAAATGTGAAGGTAAGAAGGTCCTGACATTTAATTTTCTATAAGAAGCTTTTGATTTAATGCTAGTTTTCCCAACGTTTTAGCCTCTGGATGTGTTGTTAATGTAATCCTCATCTCTAGCAAGCATTGATAACAATGATGATGAACAGATTTTTAAATTTAACATTCTGGAGATGAGAATTCCTACCTGATGAAGAGTCTATGGAGATTCTCAGTCATCCAGGTCATGGCTGTCCCAGAGGTGCTTTTTCAAAAGGCAACTGGACTTTCTTGTTTTTCTTTAAAGACGTTAGAAGCTTCTTCAGCTCTGACTGGATGATGAGGAATGGAAGGATTTACATTCCTTTATATTTATATTATCTGCAAGGAATATAAATCCTTCTGTTCCACAATCAGAGCTGAAGAAGCAAACCTTGATATCATGGGAAATACCCTTGCTTTCACAAAGCACATAAAGTCTTTTTCAACAAAAAGTGACCACAGAAATGACCTATTCCTTTGAATGCTTAGCAACATCATCTTGACTTTGTAGATATTGATGAGTGTCTCAACCCTGATGCCTGTAGTCAAGTCTGTGTGAACCTGAAAGGAAGCTATAAATGTGAATGTAAAGAAGGATATCAGATTGATCCAACTACCAAAGCTTGCAAAGCAATTGGTAAGTCTGGATTCTGTCTGTGTAGAGTACTGGTAAAAACTTTGGAAAATCTTTGACTGTTTTGTTTATGTGTATATGTAAGGGGAGAAAGGGATATGGATTAATGGTCCTGGAGTCCAAGTGTCCCCATTCTTCTTCCTTTACAGGCACCATTGCTTACCTCTTTTTTACCAATCGTCATGAGGTCAGAAAAATGACATTGGACCGCAGCGAGTACACAAATCTGATCCCCCATCTTAAAGAAGCAATGGCCTTAGATATGGAAATCAACAATAATAAAATCTATTGGTCTGACAGCTTTCACAAGAAAATATACAGGTGAGTTAGCTAGAGCATGTGTGCTGCTTTTGTGATTATTGAGTGAACCAACATAGTGAAGAAGCAGAATTTTCCTGGGAAAGGCAAATGATTCACCAGCATCCAAAAAAGGTTCTGTGAGCAGATTTGTGAGTTGATGTCTTGGAAAATTACACTTCCCTGAATGCAGGGAAGGCAGGTTGAGATCTCCTAACAATTTATGGAACTCTACTGTCACTTCTATACTTAGGTTAAAGACTCTCCCACTCCTAATGCTGCTGCAGAGCAGGAAGAAACAATACACCTCGAGCAAGCCCTATTGCCTCTGTGGATTCCCTTGCACAAATATGGTTCTTCATTGGTTGTCTGCCGAGTGGTGCTTCTTGATGCCAGCAGAGTTTCATGGATGTCTTCCTTGGGACTGTAGCTGGTGCCAAAGCTGAAACCTAGCCAGGCAGGAACTTTGCCATCTAGTGTCAAATCCCAAACACCCCAGCTGACTTGGCAAGTCTTTAGAGTTCCTCAGCCACCTCAGTAATCCCATTTCCATCCATTCACCGTATTCTTACAGAAGGATACAAAGAGTGCCTAACCCTGGCTCTCACCCAAGGTGTAGCCCTTCAGGCCCCCATCCAAACTTCAGAGGGCTTTGATATTCTTATATGAGGAACAAATGCAAGGGAGACAATAATGATAGGATCCATTGTTATTGCCCTAAATCACATTCTCACAGATCCAGTCTGTGTTAAAAAGTACATTCAGCAAGGAGTTAACTTGTCCTAAAATACCTTCCCCTTAACTCTGATGTCACAGAGAAGAATTCATATTCTAAAGCATGTCCTGTGCTAGCTGCTGCCAATCTAAATTTCTTGTTTTCAACACAAAATCTTTGGAAGTCCCATCAGCGTTCACTGCTGTCTGTTGATGCTCAGACATCAAGACATTAGGAAGACAGACAAAACAGCAACCAGGAATTTTACCATGGATCAAGTGAAAGTAACTAAATAAGAGGGTTACTGTTAAGAAACAGGTGTTTTGAGTATATTGAATGCTGTTTTTATCAGGCTAGTTAAACTTGCTTGGTTGATTAGCAGAGTTCAGTATTAGTTACTTTTGAATTATTGTTTGCAAGTATATGAAAAATTAATGTGCCCACTAATCCTGCACCCACCAAATTCTGCCATTGTGCAGCCTTTATTTCAGTGAGTCTTTTCTGTTTGTTTTCCACACAGTACCCCAATTGATAAGGCTGGCAACCATTCCCACCATACCACTGTGATTAGTAGTGGCATCAAAGTTCCAGATGGCCTTGCTGTTGACTGGGTGCATCACAATATTTACTGGACTGACTCAGGCCTAGGCACCATCTCTGTGGCCAGCAGTAAAGGTTTGAAGAGGAAGACTCTGATCAAGGAAGTCGGTGCCAAACCACGGGCCATTGTGGTGGATCCAGTCCATGGGTATGAGTCTTCCTTTAATATTTATTATTGGAGAAAATGAAAGAGACCTTCTTTGTGGGAACATACTGTAGAAATAGCTTCAAGAATTATTAAGGAGAAGGGCTTGTGGCTTAATAGGAAAAAGGACATACTTTGCATGGGGAAGATCCTAGACTAAGCCCCTGGCATCTTCACTAGATTCTGGGGAAAGTCCTACTCAGAAACCTGGGCAACCATTTTATATAGATGGTCCATAGACCAATTCAGCAGTCTATATAAAGTAGCTTGTTACATCCTAGATCTGAAAATTTAGGACAGCAGAACCTGGCTACTATTTCCTCTTGTGATATTTCAAGTGTTAGAATTGTGGGAGCAGAAAAAGCCTTTGGGAGAAGTAGAAAGGCTTGGTAGACTAGGGAAAGAAAGTATTGGGGTATGGATTTAGGATGGTGATGAATTTTGCAACTGTGGATGAGTTGGTTTAAATGGACATTTAGCTTTAATTGTCCTTGTCTTTCTCCCTTTTCTCCTCTCCTCTGGTAGGTTCATGTACTGGACTGACTGGGGGATGTCTGCTAAAATTGCCAAAAGTGGTCTGAATGGAGTGGACAGTTTCCCCTTGGTGAAAGAAGGCATTCAATGGCCTAATGGAATAGCATTAGGTATATCCTGCATAGCTGAGAACAATGCCACTTCGGAAGATGATTACACTTCTGTTCATTTATATCTAAAGAGAGACTCTTATTTCTGAGTTTTCTGTTGCTTGGCTTCTGTTGTTTGTTCCCTTCCCTGGCAGTCATTTGCCTCATTAGAGAAGCATAATACAGTTTTGTAAGCTCTTCCCCTATTACTATATTGGACAGTCTTGGGTTGTAGGCAAACAAGGCTATGATACAGCTCAGGACATGTCTGGACAAGGCTTAACCCAGAGACTCTACTTTTTCTAATGGATTCATACTTGTTTTCCAGTATTTGCTTGAAGACCAAACATGACACGGTGCCCTTTTTCTATTTTGGAGCATAATTCCAGTAATCCTTGAGTTTAGATTTAAAGGAGTTCAAACCATATGAAGAGAGTCAAGTTTTTCCTTGTGGATGAGCTTTGAGGGCAGATTTTTCAGTAGTAGTATGGAAGTGGGAATAGCTTTCTGGAAGTTGTTTGGGTCAAAGTGTTCCTGATATCCAAAGCAGTTTAGGAGACTTTCTGACCTTTCAAATAAATGAGCAATTCAGCAGTCTGACCTGGAAATTTTGGGTTCTCAAAAAGATTGCCTCATGTGACTCATTTTCTATTCTAGACTGGTATGGCTTGAGGGAGGGTTTTTTTTTCTTTGTGTTGGAACAGAATGTGTAGGATTTTGCTCCATATCTTAACATCTTTCTTCTGTACTAGATCTGATTACCCATCGCCTTTATTGGGTAGACTCCAAATATCATTCGGTCTTTAGTATTGATGTGAATGGGGGAAACAGAAGGACTGTCCTTATGGATGAAGAGATGTTGGCTCACCCTTTTGGCATCGCAGTATTTGAGGTATTGTAGATTGCTAACATAATTCTGAATCTTTGGCAATGCCAAATAGTGATGCAGTGTTGCTTGAATAAGATACTTGCCCTGAGATGGAATTAACTGTAATATCTTTTTCCTGGTTTATAATCAAAAGAGCCATCATCCCACCATCAGATCAGTAGAGGTGAGGGGACAGAAATAGTAATTGTAAGTCCCAGATCAATTTAAATAGACACAACCCATCCTTTTGCAGAAATATTTTAAAAGTTGCTAGCATTTCTAAAAGCCAATAAATAGATTATAAAATTATAAAGAACAAATAGAAGAATTGGCAGTGGAAATTCTGATTTTATGCATCTGGAGTGCACTTGAGGAAGGCTGTCAAACTGTCAAAAGCATGGATTTCTGGATAAAAATCTAGACCAGATTTAACTCTCCAGATATTAATGAACTGCAACTCCCGTCAGCATGAAAAGTAGGGGAGGGATGTTTGACAATTCATTAGTATCTTTATGATCATAGAACTCCTTGCTTACACCTTTGATGCAAACAAAATAAATGGCATGATTGAAACCAACTTTCTATTGCATTTAAAGTTTGCTTTAAAACCTGAAGCAATTTATTCACATGCTAGAAGCAGCCAATTTATCAGCAAATCTTAAACTCTTTAATTCTCCCCCTCCCCCATTAATGAACGAATTCCCCTTTTGCCTTGGGAAACTGCAATGGCTGCATATCTTTGGAAGAGTGGAATACAATTAGTCCACAAAATTCACTGTCCAAATTAACCCCTTATCCAGGATAAAGTATTCTGGACAGATGTCTTAAATGAAGCCATCTTTAGTGCCAACCGCCGAACTGGCTCAAATATTGTCAAAGTGGCAGACAATCTCTTTTCACCGGATGATTTGACACTGTTTCATTCTGTGCGGCAACCAAAAGGTAAGATGCCTCTTCTTTTTTCTTAGTTTAAGTCTATAAGAACCAGCCTTTGTTAGTTATCTGGGTCACTGCCTAAAAACCGATAACTTGTTTTTTATAAATATCACCCATTTAACTTGTTCATAGCTTGTGAAATCTTCTCTGAAAGAAGAGAGCTTGTCTCTTTTCCAGGTACAAATTGGTGTGAGAAGAATGGCATTTCCAATGGAGGCTGCCAGTACCTCTGCCTTCCCGCTCCCCAAATCACTCTCCACTCTGCCAAGTACACCTGTGTCTGTCCTGATGACATGTACCTGGACACCGACATGAGAAGCTGCTCCCAAGGTACAGAGGCCGAGGGACAAAGCCAGGGCCCTTGTATAGTGTATGGAGGAAATTGCAAAGGAATAATGCTGCCTTTCATGGCAATATTGAAAAGTAGTTTTTTCTACCATTCAGATCCTGTTACACCCAATACCCCAGCTGTGGCTGCTACAACAGTGCTCTCTGCTAAGATCTCGCCTACAGCATGGCTACTATCTACAAGTAGGACTCCAACCCAGAGAACTGAGCATCTGCCTGCAGATGTGCTGAATAATGTTGATACCAATATCCCAGAACATACAACTCATGAGATGGTCACTCTGTCCCAGCAAGGTGAGAGGCTTCTCTTTCATCCAGGGATTCTGGATACAATCCCTTTACCTTCCAGTGCAAAGCCAGTTATCATTATTTACTACCATTTGCCAGGCAACTGAGTGGCAGCCATTGAAAAGATGCAAAAAATCTATCCCGAAAATAAAACATTGGTTCCATCTTGTTAAAAAATCTCTTCATGTGTTAGTTAAGATGTTGTAGTCTTGGAATAAGATGTCGGTAGTGAAAGTGTAGGATTAGAATTTGCCTAACCCTGAATGGAGAAAGCTTAGCATGAATCTGTTCTGCAACTGAAGGAAGCTTAAAAATGGAGGACAGGTGATCGTCCTCTTCCCTTTCCATAGAAATTCAGCACATACCATGTTGGAGGAGTTAACTTTAGCCTCTCGTGTCTCTTCCCTCCACAGTTCAAAATGGCATAGCCGCAGAAACAGATGGGACAGAACGGAGGGGTCCATCAGCACTAGCTATTGTTCTATCTCTGGGTAAGTTTCCCATTTCAGAAGAAGTCCCTGCTTGGGGGCAGGAGGAGAGAAAGATGTTCTAACTCACAATGGTTAATATCTTTAGTTAATGGCCATTACAAAGAATAAGCATTTTACTCAGAATGCATATTAATGAAATTACTAATTAATTATGATTTGATCTACAAATTTTACATGTATAATTAGTATGTTCCTTGTTCTAAGCCATTGTGATGTATTGCTTAAAATGATATGTCTTCTTGGGGGTGGGTTTCATTTCAGCACTGATTAGTTTAGTCTCTTTTGGGACTTTCCTTATTTGGAAGAACTGGCGTCTCAAGAACATAAACAGTATCAATTTTGATAACCCTGTTTATCAGAAGACAACTGAGGATGAAATTCATATCTGTCGGAGCCAGGAAGGATATACATACCCATCGGTAAGCTAAGGTTCAAGATAACAAGAAGCTAAAAAGCTTCCACAAGGCACATTGGGCTATATTTCAAAATTACTGCCAAGATAGATGGCTTCCTTCACTTGCTTTACAAGTTGTCTTTGACCTATAATGGCAACTGGGAGGGGGGGGGAGTGGAATTGCTGCTGCTATGCAATGTGGTTGTAAAGTGCAACCACTTAGCTTAACGTCTGCAATCTAAGCAGTCACTGACTTTCTGGGAAACGCCAGCAGGGAAGATTGCAAATGCTAATCGCATGATTGCGAGGTGTTTGGCAACATAATTGTGAACAAGTTGCAGAGTACCCAGATTCCAATCACAGGGGCACTGCAGTAGCCTAATTTTGGAGACTGAATGTAAGTCCCTTTGTTCAGCAATTTGTTCAGCAGAACGACTGGTTGTAAATCAAAGATTACTGGTACTATTGCTAACCCAGCTTGATTCCTTACCCCTTTAGTCTCATGGGCACAGAAAATGCCTTCAGTAATATTTTGCTTAAATTGGAGGGTAGAAACTTAAATTTCCAGTTTATTCAAGTTTCTTTCTTAACAAAAAGAAGTTCATATTAGTTAAACTAGAATTTAGATGTTTCACATCCATGGCACATACAGAATATAAATGGAATGCCTAGCAGCTCTTAATCCTTTAAACAAGTGCAAATGTTTTATCAAATAGATACCTTTATTTTTTTAGAGTTGCACAAGTCGGCCCCTTGATACTAAAAAGAATCTTTTAAAAAGTAATTTTAAGTGCAGCCTAAAAATTTGCAATGTCAAACTGTTACATTAATTCAAAAATTCTTAGCTGACCAATTGTCTTTTATAGCATGCCCTCCACTGCCAATACCCCATTGATTTCTCTTTTTAGAAATATGGGAGTAAAGCAAACAGCTTTGGTTCCTAACTATTGGTTTGCTACAAATAATGAATTAACTACATTACTGTAATACATTTACATTAAGGTTTTGGTTTGCTAAAAAAGTAACTTCATGAAGGTTCAGGGGAAATGCCAGGATGCCCAGGCCTTGGAAGCTGGTGTTCAGTTCCCTAACTTGGTTTCATATCTTTCCTATAGTCCAGTGTTCCATAAAATAGAAAATATTTTGTTTCCGAAGTGCTTAGCATCTCTTTTGAACTGTCAATGATTGTCCTACATTTATGAATCTATAGCTTTCCAAAGTTGAAGCAGTTCTTAAGATTTCTGGAAAGTTGAGTAAAATGGATGAAATTGCAGGACTTAGTCTGTCCTCTACCATTAAAGGTAGAAGAGAAAATGCCTATATAAATAATTGGCTGGCAAAGCTCACTTGGCTGCCAAATTAAGATTTGACACCAAGACTTTCTGAACCCATCCCATTTTACGCACCTCAGTGGGTTTGTTTGTTTGTTTTCATTCCACATCTTTCTTTTAGAGACAAATGGTCAGTCTAGAAGATGATGCAGCATGAAACTGCCTCTACACCTCAAGTGCCTCTCTCAGGACTTTGCTGCTTATTTTATGGGAAGAAGAGCACAAATGGCCTGGCTTCAGTTCTCTCCCAGACATCCAATACTACTTCCTGAGTGACTTGATGGATTGTTCCCACTCTCCTTTATTTGTTTAAGAAGGGGGGCATTTGTCAGCTGCCAGTTTCATGGGACATTGAAAAATTGATGGCATTGTTGGGTTTTTATGTTTTTTTCTATATTTATTGTTGTGCCCAGTGCTAACAGGACACTGGTGCCTCTGATATGCTTTGGGTCTCCTTAATTTGACATGGTAAGAATATTCCTAAATGGAAAACAGGGATTCAACAAAGAGAGGTTCTTTTCTGGATGCAAATTTGGGTGTGGTGGAGTCTTCCTGTGGTCTAGAGATCTTTATGCCCCAATGTTTTACACATAGTGAGCCTGGAAAGGTTGAGAATCTAAATCTAAATTTGAGATACGAAGCTAAAGTCACCTAATCTACATTCTGGATCCCTCCCTGCTTCCCAAACTAGGCCAGAGAAGTTTTGAAAATGGATTGCATCATCCATGTTGTCAACCAAAAACACTGACTTTTATTTTCTAACTCCAAAGGAAAAAGCTCAAGGTATTCGATCCTGTTGTGAAATCTCCCTCTTGGTTCAGGGTTGCCTGTTTTCTTCCAGCTTTCCCTGCCCAACCTACCACGCACTTTTGTTTTTTGGCTCGGTTTGTGATCTACATGGCCTGTAATCTTGTATAACAATATTTGCACTTGATTGTTTTCCTTGCCTCTCTGGTCACCTGTGCCCAGAAAGTAAGAGGGTGGGGAAAAAACTAAACCAATGACACAAACAGGCTGACTTGTGGGGGATGGGGTTGTTGCGTTTGCTTGGTGCTAAGTCTCTTGTGCCTTTAGAGCAGACTAGAAGAAAAAAAAGGGCAATAGACTGCTGGCCAAAAAACAGGAATCTGAAGCCATTTTTTTTTTCATATTCCGTCTCAAGTCACTGCTGTACTGTTGCCTTAATGCTGCATTTCTCTTCAGTGTTACCTTTTTATACTTGTATCCCTTCCCTTCCTAAAGGAAATGTTTTTTATACTGGGAAGGAGATGCACAATGGATTCCCCCTTTCCCACTAAGTTGTAGCCCAGAATCAGTTTCATGTAGAGTAGAAAGAACCTATCCTAGATGTGACATTTTCTATAGTTGAAGGCAGTGTCTGTCACACATTCTGAAGTGGGCTAAAACTAAGCGTATTTGCTGTCCGGCAATTGAATTTTCTGAAAGGGTAAACAAATTATATCCTGACTACTTGCTACTTTTAAAATACTGGTATTGATACTTATAGAGAAGTAGAATTAGGATATAAATATAAAAGAACTGCTATTTATGTGACCTTTCTCATTCCATCTCAGAAACAGAAATTACTTGTGCATCATGTTTCCCTTCAATAATCTAGCAATCATTGGCTAGAATAACAAATGATGATTTTTTGCTCTTGGCCTGGCACTTCTAATTCCCTTCCCTTTGAAAGGAAAAGCACTAAATGCAAGGAGGAAGCCCTCAGACCTTTTGTCCTAAAGCTGTGAAAGATGCCAACCTCTTTCGCATAGTATAGAGTGTGTAAATAATGTATGTGGTCTATGTTAAGGTATAGATTTCCTTTGCACAAAAGTTGCCTTGTCTATTTGTACATATGTTCATAAATACATGACTTATTTATTTATATGTTTATATTATTGAGGTTGATAATTGGCCTTTTTTTCTGTTGCACCACACGTTGCAATGTCTTTTTTATTCTTTTCCCTTCCACAAAAACTGTTTAGTGTATACACGTTTGTGTATATGATCTAAGTGTTGCCCCTATTTGAAGTAAGCCTGACAGGGTGAACACAATACAGTATACAACATAGGCATTTGTGGAAGTATACTTTTCAAAGAGAACACAAGATCTGTTGGTATTTCACATGGTTTGGACCTCCTTTAGATTGATGATTTGAGTCACAGATTATTTTTGCTCTCCTACTGATGCTCTGAATAGCCACTTGGTAGTGAGGAATTGATACCAAATGAATAGTTAACTCTGTCTTCTGCAATATTTATGAATCTAGTTAACTTAGAAGAGGTATATCTCCCTTAGATTTAATTGCTGACAGCATTTTTATAACAAGCTATGCCACTGCATGTTTTTGTTATTGTCCTCTGTTGCCCAGTTTCTTCTGGGTTAGCAGAATTGACTACAACTGGAGGCAGCTGGGAATCTATTGTTTTTGGTCCTGGCGCCTTTTGCTGTTGCACTGTGAATTTGTAAACTTTTAATTCTGCATCACTATATTAGAATTGCATGTGAGTGAAAAGTGAGGGTCAACCAAAGTTTCTAATGATCAATAATTATAGAAGGTTCTGTTTCTACATCTTCAAAAAAGGACAGAAAATATAATGTAATAACTTAGGGACCTTAAATAAACTTTGAATGTTTTTTTAGGGTATTAAACATCATCATAGAGGCTTTTGCTAAAATCAGTCACTTTGATAAATTGTTTAAAAGAAAATAATCACAAGGTTGATGAAATGGGTGCCTCCTGTGAGAAGCTCTTCTCTTGGAGTGCTAAGCAGCTGCTTTAATATTTTAACCCTCTATCAAAGTAATTGGTTATTAACATGACAATCCTTGTGAAAAGCCTCACTGATTGGAGGCTGAACCCTCAAAACATTCTAGGCATATTCAATGGGTTTTCTTGATTTAGTTGGGTTCCAAAATCTGTAATTTTTTTCACAAGCATCAGTGATGTGCTCCTGTGGACAAAAATCTAGATTTTGGGAGTATTATGCCATTTTTTTCCTACATCAGTCTAGAAGTCTGTTCTAATACTTCTCTTGCATCTGTGTGACTCTCCCAAGCTGAAGAATAGAACCTTAGGGTGAAACTGTGTTCTCATTTTATGAAACTAGAATCTTTTCAGCCTACAGCTCATGAGCCAGTCACTTAAACTTGTTCTGATCCCTGGAATTCAGTTAGATTTCAGGATGTTTGTTAAATCTCAGTGCATTTCTCAAGTTGGGAAGCAGAAAAACAGAAAAACCTGTGCAAGGTACTTGAGAATGGGTGGGATGCTGAAGAGAATTGCCAGCCTTTGCTTTGTTCACTTGCCTCTGGTGTGGTGGAAGGTTGAAGAATGACTTGGAATGCAGTGGATGGCAGGGTTCTCTCTTCATGCTTGCATGCGTTGATGCTATTGCCTTCCTGGTTGAAGCAAAGAAAATCCAGGTTAAGTTATTTTAATTGGATAGATAAACTGGTTTTACATGTAAACTTCTGACAAGTAAATTGTACCTTTACAGATTCACTGAGCTTTATTTTTTTAAATATTAAACATGCCTCTCTTGAAATTTATGAGGTATTTCCCCACATATTGAATGAATTTAATAAATATTTAAATACGCTGAAAGTTTTACATGTTTCTTTCTCAATTTCAATATAATTGTTGACCTGGGGGAGGAGTGCTCTTTGTCAACTGTCCAGTTGACATTCCCAGAAAAAGAAACTCCTGGGACATGATTTTACCAAGAGTGTAATACTTTACTGAAAATTTACATTGGCACAGAAGAAGCAAAACCAACTCTGGTTTTTTCGCTCAAAAACCTAAACAATAGATTCCCTCGCCCCCACCCACCGGGTATTCACATTGTCCAATAGTAATACTTCTTGTTATGAGAAAAGTCCACTTCTCTATCTAGCACTTGCATTAGTGACCTTGGCATTCCTGCAGGCTCTCAAAAATACCTCAGTTGCCTAAATACTATCCCTCCCACCTTTGCATTCCATTCCACAATCTTTTCAAGCTATGAGCAAGGGAGAAAATGTAGGTGAAAGGGCGAACCAGCCTTGACATGCCAACCCCTCTGGAAGAAAGGTAGACCTGGAACAAGAATAAAATACATTATTACATACAGCCCAACTACTGCTATGTTCCTTAATGGAGCTGTTGAGGATAACTAATGTGAAATTTCTTAACTAATCTCATTGCCTAATTTTCCCTTGTGATACCTGGAGTTGGGAATCTTTTTAATCTCATAGTGCTCCGCTCCCTTTACTAGGATGGGTGGAGGATGTGTTTCTTTGACTGTCCTCAAACCAGATTCCCGAAAAGGTTTTAAAAGGCTGCAATGAAATACTGGATGAACTTGCCTGAAGCTTCTCTGTAACATCAGCTCCATCGTCACTGGATTTATGATCCAGACGATGTGGAAAGGTCCTATGTAACTTTGCAAGGTTACCTCAGGTTTAGTTACTTAGCAGACAAGTACACCTTATTCCCCCACTCTAAACTCTCTGGGGGGTTCTCTTCCAATCTGCTTGCCTCTTGACTTTTCCTAGCCTTATTCAGTGCCTCGCACATAGTGGGCCACATGGCTTTTAACGTATCCAATCAATGACCCTAAGGATGGAGCTTCCTTTGGGAGCTCAGGCATGGACATGAGCTCAGTCTCCGTGGCCACTTTGAAGGGAGTAGAACCTATGCACTGAGTTGTTATATGCTACATCTGCGAAAGTTAGGAGTTTGACCCAATTAATCTGCGGATAATTTACATAACAGCACAGGTATTGCTCTGCTAGTGAGTTGGTACATTCAGGACCCCCATTAGTACTCTGATGATAGATGGAGCTAAGTCCCTAGTAGGAGCCAATCATTTTTAAGAATTCCTGCCAAACCTTTGTGGTGAACTGCACTTCGGGACCCCATGTCGTCAGTAGATGTGCTGCACAAAAATCTTGGCTAGGACCCAGGCTGAAGGAATCTTCAGACGCATCACAAAGCATGCTTGCTTCAAAAACAAGTAAATGATAATCCAAATTACTGTGTTCCCAGCACTCTCAGGCAACTCCACAACAAAATCCATGGATATCTCTTCCCACGGCTTAGCCAGGTTGGCTACCGATTGTAACAAGCCTGTGTAGGCTTTCCAGGTAGGCACTTCATGGAGGCACACACAAGGCAACTAGCCACGTAGGCTTCTATGTCCTTTTTCATTTTTGGCCATCAAAATTCTTTTTACCAAATGAAGGGTTTTCACAAATACAAAATGCCCTGCGAGTTTTACATCGTGGCTCCTCTGCAGGACCAAGGTTCTCTGGCTAGCTGGGATGTACAATTTACTCCCATGCTAAGCCATCTTTTGACATCTTTATGTCTCTGGAACCATTCATCCACCGATTCATGATTCA